TGAGCCGTTTTGCTGTGCTGCCCACCCTTGTGCAACTGTCCTATCCTTGTGCAACTGACCATTGGCTGGCCTGGCCAGGCCAAATGGTCTGGTTCGTGTTTGCAGCACAGCTTGACCTGCTTGCATGCGGGGCATGCGAGGCAGCTTGTTCTGTCCGTCGTCATGTACACTATGATATAATACTACAGGCTTGACAACTCTTTCAAACCTTTTTTTGGTTCATATTGCACGGCGAGGCATCCGCCACAGTCATTGCCTGGTGTACATGGCGTGCCGCCATCTTCCTGATGAAGGCGTCATGTGGAAAACATGTGGTTGTTGACTGAAATTGTGTAGCTCTGGTGACAACAGAGGTCCTTGTGTTGTCGAGTGTGTGCAGGTGGGTCGGACGCATGTGGTTGCTTGTCACAGCAACAACATTGCCAATGTTGCGTCATGCAGCTCGCGGCCTCGGAGCCAATGGCCGCTGGTGAGAGCCGCTCGCCGAGTATCAGACTGGCTTCGGACTGAGCGCGGGCTGCCAATGACTGCCAGCTTGCTGCTGAATAACAGGGCAGAAGGTGTGGCAGCAGGTCTCACTTACCTGTTGTATGGCGTGAGCGCCTTTCCCTTCGGAGGGCACTCGTATGATTTGCGCTTTCGGGTCCTACGGCTCTATTTTTTGGGGGCTGTAAGCTCCTCTTTGGCGGGCACAAGCAAGCAGTGCTGTTTGGGCTTGAAGAATGCCAGCAAACACCAGTGATCCCAGGCAGCTTCTTGCCGGGTACAGGACGTTTGACCATGACGTGAAACACACCTCTTCACAGCACCCCGCCTCGGCCAGCACCCAATTGTTCACCAGTACAATGAACACCAGTACGTATGAAAAAATGGCACGGGCACCAAAAGCTTCCATGGGGGCCCTGTTTGGCATGTTGAGCAGATGCTACTGGCGTGCCAGGCTCAAGCTGACCAGCTAGAGCTTGCAGCCCTTGCCCCCCATGCACGACATCCAGGCGCTGAAGCCGCCGAGCTCAAACATCCCTTGCGCGCAGGCTTGCTGTAAACCTTCCAGAAGCTTTTTAGGTTAAACAGCTGGAGGTGACACCAGGACGCGGGCCATCCACGTCGATCATGTCGTTGTTCCTGTTCTCGCAAACCGATTACTCAGCCAGCGGAGAAACCGGGGTTCTAACCACGCCAAGGTATTGACAATGACTTTTGTTTCGTAGCTTCAGCGAGGACCACGGAAGAGCCTGCGAAGGCAAAAAGCATTGACGAAACCAGTGCGTGCACTCAAGAGCCCGAACGCAAAACTTGAGGCGCGTATATTTCTTCGTCGCGTCACGTGAGACAGCAGGACACGCGTAGGGCGCGGACGAGGCATCTCGATTGCTAGAGGTGAGCAAGTGCAGCTTGCACAGGCGGTGCGTGCGCCAATCATGGCATGAAACGCCTTCAGAGAACACACCGACTCTTTTGGCTCGGACAGCACGGCAGCAGCGCCTGCATCGCCTTGATCGCAGCGCCTTGTTTGAAGCAGAAATCGCCGTATCACCGTCTCAGGTGATAATTTAGCAACGTTTGATTTTATTGCTGCACGCTGCGAGGCCTGCAGGGCCTCCAGCGCTGATCCAACGAGTTAGGCGCTGCAATCTCGTGCTGCAGGCTCAAGGCCAAGGACGCGAGGCAGTGAATGCAAGACCCTGGAGGGGTGCCGGGGTGGCCGCCTCCAGGCCTCTTTGGCGGCCCGGCGTTCGGCCTGGAGGCGGGTGGCTACGGTTTACAGGTGCGCCGGCCTTGCCCGGGACGGTGCCTCCCCCACGCACCAACGGCATGTGGCCTTGCCTTGAACGGCATGCCTTGCAACGCTATGGCCGCGCGTGCGCCATGCCGGCACCTCGGTCGTGGCGCGCATGCGCCCGCGTCCCCAAGCGCGAGCGCCGGAACGGCAGGCGGGGTCGAGGGGTCTCGCGCCAAGCCCAGCGCGCCTCGCGCTTGCCCCCCTCCCGCCGCCCCCCTCCCATGTTCGCTCCCCTGCGCAGGGAGGGCAGCAGGGGCTGCCCCACAATCCGTCTGCCGGCTCCCTGGCGTCGCTACTGGACGGGCGACCGCTCGGGGATGCGGCAGCGGCTGCCGCGGCGCAAGGCCATCTCACCGGCCTCGGACTGCCTCTAGGTGCGCGCTGCCCTGCAGCAGCCTCGCGGCAGCCAGCTGCACCTGTCCAGCGATGGCGTTTCGAGGGCGCGCGTGACTGCGGGCGCGCCCATGACAACCGGCCGCGGCCAGGCAGGCGATCAAAGGTCGCGAAAGCGCTGGAAAGCCCGGCCGCATGGCGCTGACGCGCGCGCGCATGCGCATGCGGCTGTGACCCTTCCCATGACACGCAGGCGTGGCTGAGGGCGGCACGCCAGGCTCCGCGGCGGGGGGCGACCAGGCGTCCTCCCTGGGGCGCTTTGCAGCGCCCGACCTCGCATCGCCGCCGAGCGCGTCCGACCCCGCACCCCTGGGCAGCTACCCGGGCGCGCAGCTCTCGCACCAGCAGCTGCTCGCGGCGGCGGCGCCGGCGCAGCAGCAGTGGCGCGACGCGGCGGCGGCGGGGCGGCCGCTGCGCGGGCGCGTCGGGAGCGTCGCGTCCATCAGTGAGGAGGATCTGTTCAGCAGCACCGGCGGCCTGGAGATCGGCCACGACGCAGGTTCGGCCCCCGCCGACCCGCCGCCGCCGCACGAGGCGCTCGCGCCCGCCGACGCGCCGTCGCGGACGCTGTTCGCGCGAAACCTTCCTCCGGAGGTTTCGGACGAGGAGCTGCAGCAGCTGTTTGCGGCGCACGGGGAGCTGCGGTCGCTGTACACTGCTTGCAGGCACCGGGGTTTCGTCCTAGTCAGCTACTACGACCTGCGCGCCGCGGTGCGCGCCGCACAGCTGCTGCAGGGCACGCCGCTGGGCGGGCGGGCGCTCGAGATATCTTTCGCCGCGCCGAAGCCTGGCGCGGGCGTGCCCCGCGTCAGCGGCGGGGCGGCGGCGGAGGGCGGCGGCGGCGGCAGTACACCGCAGTCCGCGGCCGCGGCGGTGGGCGGGCAGCTGAACCAGGGGGTGATCGTGGTCTACAACCTCGACCCAGACACCACCAACGAGCAGCTGGCCTGGATATTCAATAGGTTTGGGGAGGTAAAGGAAATCCGGGAGGCCGCGGCGCGCGGCAATCAGAAGTTCATCGAGTTTTACGACGTCCGCCACGCAGCCGCCGCGCTGCGCGCGATGAACCGTGCCGAGCTCTCAGGCCGTGGCCCGCTGCCCGGCGGCGGCGGTGGCAGCGGCGGCACGCCGACGGCGGCCGCGGCGCCGGAGCAGCAGCAGGGCGGCGGGGGCGGCGGCGCGGCGGCGGCGCAGGCGCTGGCGATTGCGGGCGCTGCGCGGTCCGCGGCGGCGCGCGGCATGGTGCGGCCGGCATCGCAGGCCGTACTGGAGCAGCTGCATGC